CCCCATTTCCATGCCCAATTTCTCCCCAATTTTCCTCCAATTTTCCCTACTTTCTCCCTCAATTTCCCTACAAATTTTCCCCCTATTTTCTCCTCAATTTCCCCCATTTTCCTTCCCCATTTTCCTCCAATTTTCCCCATTTTCCTTCCTCATTTTCCCTTCATTTCCCCCATTTTCCCCTCAGCTTTTCCCCATTTTCCCCTCAATTTTCCCCCCAATTTTCCTACAATTTTCTCCCATTTTCCTCCCCATTTTCCTCCAATTTCTCCCCATTTTCCCCTCAATTTTCCCCCATTTTCTCCCCAATTTTCCTACGATTTCCCCCCAATTTCCTCCTTATCTCCCCCTCAATTTCTCTCATTTTCCCCTCAACTTTTCCCCATTTTCCCTCCATTTTCCCCTCAATTTCCCCTCAATTTCCCCCCATTTTCCCTACAATTTTCCTCCAATTTTCTCCTTATTTTCCCCTCAATTTCCCCTCAATTCCTCCCTAATCTCCCCTATTTTCCTCCAATTTTTTCCCCATTTTCCTCCAATTTTTTCCCCAATTTCCCCACAATTTCCCCCAATGTTCTCCTTATTTCCTCCTCAATTTCCCCCCATTTTCTCCTCAATTTCCCCCTCAATTCCTCCCTAATTTCCCCTCAATTTTCCTCCAATTTTCCCCCTCAACTTTTCCCCATTTTTCCTCAATTACCCCCCACTTTTCCTCCAATTTTTCCCCATTTTCCCCTCAATTTCCCCTTTAATTTCCCCTCAACTTTTCCCCCAATTTCCCCTCCATTTTCTCCTCAATTTTCCTACATTTTACCCCAATTTTCCCCTCATTTTTCCCCCAATTTTCCTACAAGTTTTCCCCCATTTTTTTCCTCATTTCCCCTCAATTTTCCCCATTTTCTGCCCCAATTTTCCCCTCAATTTCCCTCCAATTTTCCCCCATTTTCCTTCCCCATTTTCGTTTCCCATTTTCCTCCAATTTTCCCCATTTCTTCCTCTTTTCCTCCCTAATTTCCCCTCAATTTTCCCCATTTTTCTCTCAAATTTCCTCCAATTTTTCCCCAATTTCCCTCAATTTCCCCTCAATTTTCCCCTCAATTTCCCCCCAATTTTCCTCCAATTCCCCCCAATTTTTCCCCTATTTCCCCCCAATTTTCTCCTCAGTTTTCCTCAATTTTCCCCCATTTTCCCTCAATTTCCCCTCAATTTCCCCACAATTTTCCCCCATTTTCCTTCCCCATTTTCCTCCAATTTTTCCCCATTTTCGCTCCATTTCCCCTCACTTTTCCCCCAATTTTCCCCCATTTTCTCCTCAATTTCCCCTCAACTTTCCCCCATTTTTCCCTCAATTTTCCTCCAATTTTCCCCCAATTTTTCCCCATCTCTCCCCCCCATCTCCCCCCCACAATCCCCCCCCATTTCCCCCACCCCATTTTTGGGTTAAATTCCCGGATTTTTGGCTGCACTCACCCCATCTGCGCTCCCCGGCCTCCGCGGCTGCCGCGGTTCCCGCGCTCGAATCCTCCCCGGCCGGAGCCGAAGGCGCCGCGGCCGCGGCTGCGCTCGGGAGGGGCCTGGGAGCCGTAACCGGGGCCGCTGGGGGCGTCCTGGTACCCGCCCGAGCTCAGCGAGCCCCCGTCCTGCCCGTAGCTGTTGGCTGCAATGGGGAGAAAACACCAAAATTTGGGAAAATTCAAAAAAATTGGGGAAAAAATCGGAAATTCGGGCGAAATTTGGGCACTTTCGGACCCAAACGCGGCCTAAATCTGAGGGGATTCGGCTTCAAATCAACCCCAAACTCCCTGTCCACCCCAGAGGTGTTGGCTGGAATGGGGAGAAAACACAGGAATTTGGGGAAAATTCAAAAAAAATTGGGAATTTTGGGAAAATGGTAGAAAAAATCGGGAATTTTGGCGAAAATTGGGCATTTTCGGACCAAAACGCGGGGCCCCAAATCTGAGGGGATTCGGCCCTAAATTGGCCCCAAATCAGCCCCAAATCAACACCAAACCCCCTGGTCCTGCCCGGAGCTCTTGGCTGAAATTGGAGAGAAAAAGGCAAAATTTGGGGAAAATTGGGAAAAAAGGGAATTTTGGGGGAAATTTGGGCACTTTTGGACCAAAACGCGGCCCTGAATCCAAGGGAATTCGGCCCCAAATCAGCTCCAAATCTGAGGGGATTCTGCCCCAAATCAGCCCAAATCAACCCCAAATCCCCGTCCTGCCCAGAGGTGTTGGCTAAAATAGGGAGAAAAAACAGGAATTTGGGAAAATTGCAAAAAATGGGAATTTTGGGGAAATTTGGGGAATTCGGGCACTTTCGGACCCCAAATCTGAGGGGATTCAGCCCCAACTCAGCCCCAAACCGGGGCCACTGGGGGGCGTCCTGGTACCCGCCCGAGCTCAGCGAGCCCCCCGTCCTGCCCGTAGCTGTTGGCTAAAATGGGGAGAAAAAGGCAAAATTTGGGAAAATTCAAAAAAAATTGGGAAAAAATCGGAAATTCGGGCGAAATTTGGGCACTTTTGGACCCCAAATCTGAGGGGAATTCGGCCTCCAATGAGCCCCAAATCAACCCCAAACCCCCTGGTCCTGCCCGTAGCTGTTGGCTGGAATGGGGAGAAGAAACACCAAAATTTGGGAAAATTCAAAAAAAATTGGGGAAAAATCGGAAATTCGGGCGAAAATCGGGGATTTTTAGACCCAAATTCAATGGAATTGTGCCCAAAATCAGCCCCAAATCAACCCCAAATCAACCCCAAACCCCCCGTCCTGCCCGTAGCTGTTGGCTGGAATGGGGAGAAAACACCAAAATTTGGGAAAATTCAAAAAAAATTGGGGGAAAAAATCGGGAATTTTGGTGAAATTTGGGCACTTTCGGACCCCAAATCCGAGGGAATTCGGCCCCAAATCAGCCCCAAATCAACCCCAAACCCCCTGGTCCTGCCCAGAGGTGTTGGCTAAAATGGGGGAGAAAACACAGGAATTTGGGAAAATTCAAAAAAAAATTGGGAATTTTGGGGAAAAATCGCAGAAAAAATGGGGAAAATTGGGCGAAAATCGGGGGTTTTTAGACCCAAATCTGAGGGGATTCGGCCTCAAATCAGCCCCAAACCCCCGTCCTGCCCGGAGCTGTTGGCTGAAATTGGGGAGAAAACAGCAAGATTAGGGAAAATTAAGAAAAATGGGAATTTTGGGAAAATTCAGGCAAAAACTGGGCATTTTTGGACCCAAATATGGCCCCAAATCTGAGGGAATTCAGCCCCAAAACAGCCCCAAATCTGAGGGGATTCAGCCCCAAATCAACCCCAAACCCCCTGTCCATCCCAGAGGTGTTGGCTGGAATGGGGAGAAAAAGGCAAAATTTGGGAAAATTCAAAAAAAATTGGGAATTTTGGGGAAAAATCGCAGAAAAAATGGGGAATTTTGGCGAAATTTGGGCACTTTTGGACCAAAACGCGGGGCCCCAAATCTGAGGGGATTCAGCCCCAAATCAGCCCCAAATCAGCCCCAAATCAACCCAAAACCCCCTGGTCCTGCCGGAGCTGTTGGCTGAAATTGGAGAGAAAAAGGCAAAATTTGGGGGAAAATTGGGAAAAAAAATGGGAATTTTGGGGAAATTTGGGCACTTTCGGCCCCAAATCTGAGGGAATTTGGCCCAAATCAGCCCCAAACCGGCCCCGCCACTGGGGCCGTCCTGGTACCCGCCCGAGCTCAGCGAGCCCCCGTCCTGCCCGTAGCTGTTGGCTAAAATGGGGAAGAAAAAGGCAAAATTTGGGAAAATTCAAAAAAAATTGGGAAAAAATCGGAAATTCGGGCGAAATTTGGGCACTTTCGGACCCAAACGCGGCCCCAAATCTGAGGGAATTCAGCCCCAAATCAACCCCAAACCCCCTGTCCACCCCAGAGGTGTTGGCTGGAATGGGGGAGAAAACACAGGAATTTGGGAAAATTCAAAAAAAATTGGGAATTTTGGGGAAAATTGGGCGAAAATCGGGGGTTTTTAGACCCAAATCTGAGGGGGATTCAGCCCCAAATCAGCCCCAAATCAACCCCAAACCCCCCGTCCTGCCCGGAGCTGTTGGCTGGAATGGGGGAGAAAAAGGCAAAATTTGGGAAAATTCAAAAAATTTGCAATTTTGGGGAAAAAAATTGGGAAAATTGGGAGAGAAATTGGGGAAAAAAATGGGGGAAAATTGGGCAAAAATCGAGGATTTTTAGACCCAAATCTGAGGGAATTCTGCCCCAAATCAGCCCCAAATTCCCCATCCTGCCCAGAGGTGTTGGGTGAAATGGGGAGAAAAAGGCAAAATTTGGGAAAATTCAAAAATTTAAAAAAACCTGAGAAAAGCAGGGAAAATTTGGGGACAAAATCAGGAAATTTGGGGGAAAAATTAGGGAAAGTTTGGGGGAAAATTTGGGGGAAATCCAGGAAAATTTGGGGTAAAATCAGAGAAAATTGGGAGAAAATTGGGGAAAATTGGGGAAAAATCCAGGAAAATTTGGGGGTAAAATCAGAGAAAATTGGGGGAAAAATCAGGGGAAAATCCAGGAAAATTTGGGGGAAAATCAGAGAAAATTGGGAGAAATTTAGGGGAAAATCAGGGAAAAATCCAGAAAAATTTGGAGTAAAATCAGAGAAAAGTGGGACAAATTTGGGGAAAAATCCAGGAAAATTTGGGGTAAAATCAGAGAAAATTGGGGAGAAATTCAGGGGAAAATCGGGGGAAAAATCCAGGAAAATTTGGGGGGAAATCAGGGAAAATTGGGAGAAATTTATGGGAAATTCAGGGGAAAATCCAGGAAAATTTGGGTAAAAACAGAGAAAATTGGGAGAAATTTTCAGAGATTTCAACCCCGATTTTGCCCAAAATCCCCAAATTTTACCCCAAAATCCGCAAATTTCACCCCAAAATCCCCAATTTTTTTTAGGAATTTCCCTCCCATCCCAGATGTGATTTGGACAGGGTTGTAGGACGATTGTTCCCATCCCAAATCCCCCAAAATCCCCCAATTTCAGTGCCAAAATCCCCCAATTTCAGTCCCAATCTCACACAAGAATTGTGCAATTTTAGTTCCGATTTTGCCCAAAATCCCCAAATTTGGCCCCAAAATCCCCAAACTTTTTCAGGAATTTCCCTCACACCCCAAATTTCATTTGGATAGGATTGTAGGACGTCTGTTCCCATCCTAAATCCCCCAAAATTCCCCCCAAAATCCCCCAATTTCAGCCCCAATCTCCCGCAAAAATTGGGCGATTTCAGCCGCGATTTTGCCCAAAGTCCCCAAATTTCACCCCAAAATCCCCCAAATTTTGCCCCAAAATCCCCATTTTTTTTGGGAATTTCACTGAACTCCCAGATATTATTTGGGCAGGGTTGTAGGACGACTGTTCCCATCCAAAATCCCCCAATTTCAGCCGATTTTAGTCCCAAAATCCCCCAATTTTAGCCCCAAAATCCCCCAATTTCAGCCGATTTCAGCCCCCGATTTTGCCCAAAATCCCCAAATTTCACCCCAAAATTCCCGTTTTTTTTTCAGGAATTCCACTCACAGGCCCCTTGGCTGTACTGGCCCTGCTGGCTGTAGCTGGGGGGGGGGTTGTAGGACGACTGTTGCCATCCCAAATCCCCAAAAATCCCCAAGTTTTACACAAAAATTGGGCGATTTCAGCCGCGATTTTGCCCAAAATCCCCAAATTTCACCCCAAAATTCCCGTTTTTTTTGGGAATTCCACTCACAGGCCCCTTGGCTGTACTGGCCCTGCTGGCTGTAGCTGGGGGGGGGGTTGTAGGACGACTGTTGCCATCCCAAATCCCCCAAAATCCCCCAATTTCAGCCGATTTCAGCCCCGATTTTGCCCAAAATCCCCAAATTTTGCCCCAAAATCCCCATTTTTTTTGGGGAATTTCACTGAAATCCCAGATATTATTTGGGCAGGGTTGTAGGACGACTGTTCCCATCCCAAATCCCCCAAAATCCCCCAATTTCAGTTCCAAAATCCCCCAATTTCAGTCCCAATCTCACACAAGAATTGCGCAATTTTAGTTCCGATTTTGCCCAAAATCCCCAAATTTTACCCTAAAATTCCCAAATTTTTTCAGGAATTTCCCTCCCATCCCAAATTTCATTTGGATAGGATTGTAGCATGACTGTTCTCATCCCAAATCCCCCAAAATCCCCAATTTCAGTTCCAAAATCCCCCAATTTCAGTCCCAATCTCACACAAGAATTGCGCAATTTTAGCCCCGATTTTGCCCAAAATCCCCAAATTTGGCCCCCAAAATCCCCGGGTTTTTTCAGGAATTTCCCTCACATCCCAAATTTCATTTGGATAGGATTGTAGGACGTCTGTTCCCATCCCAAATCCCCCAATTTCAGCCGATTTTAGTCCCAAAATCCCCCAATTTCAGCCCCAATCTCACACAAGAATTGCGCAATTTTAGTCCCGATTTTGCCCAAAATCCCCAAATTTTGCCCCAAAATCCCCAATTTTTTTAGGAATTTCCCTGAAATTCCAGATATTATTTGGGCAGGGTTGTAGGACGACTGTTCCCATCCCAAATCCCCCAAAATCCCCCAATTTTAGTCCCAAAATCCCCCAATTTCAGTCCCAATCTCACACAAGAATTGCGCAATTTTTAGTCCCGATTTTGCCCAAAATCCCCAAATTTCGCCCCAAAATCCCCAAATTTTTCAGGAATTTCCCTCACATCCCAAATTTCATTTGGATAGGATTGTAGCATGACTGTTCCCATCCCAAATCCCAAAATTCCACCCAAAAATCCCCCAATTTCAGCCAATTTCAGCCCCAAAATCCCCCAATTTCAGCCGATTTCAGCTGCGATTTTGCCCAAAATCCCAAATTTCACCCCAAAATCCCCAAATTTTTTTAGGAATTTCCCTGAAATTCCAGATAAGATTTGGGCAGGGTTGTAGGACGACTATTCCCATCCCAAATCCCCCAAAATCCCCATTTTAGTCCCAAAATCCCCCCAATTTCAGCCGATTTCGGCCCCAATCTCCCACAAAAATTGGGCGATTTCAGCCCCGATTTTGCCCAAAATCCCCAAATTTCACCCCAAAATTCCCGTTTTTTTTCAGGAATTTCACTCCACAGGCCCCTTGGCTGTACTGGCCCTGCTGGCTGTAGCTGGGGGGGGGGGTTGTAGGACGACTGTTGCCATCCCAAATCCCCCAAAATCCCCCCAAAAATCCCCCAATTTCAGCCGATTTCAGCCACGATTTTGCCCAAAATCCCCAAATTTTCACCCCAAAATTCCCAAATTTTTTCAGGAATTTCCCTCAAATCCCAAATTTCATTTGGATAGGATTGTAGGATGACTGTTCCCATCCCAAATCCCAAAATTCCACCCAAAAATCCCCCAATTTCAGCCGATTTTAGCCCCAAAATCCCACAAAAATTGGGCGATTTCAGCCGCGATTTTGCCCAAAATCCCCAAATTTCACCCAAAATCCCCGTTTTTTTTGGGAATTTCCCTCACATCCCAAATTTCATTTGGACAGGATTGTAGGACGACTGTTCCCCATCCCTAAATCCCCCAAAATTCCCCCCAAAATCCCCCAATTTCAGCCCCTATCTCCCCCAATTTCAGCCGATTTCAGCTGCGATTTTGCCCAAAATCCCCAAATTTCGCCCCAAAATCCCCAAATTTCACCCCAAAATTCCCAATTTTTTCAGGAATTCCACTCACAGGCCCCTTGGCTGTACTGGCCCTGCTGGCTGTAGCGGGGGGGGGGGTTGTAGGACGACTGTTGCCATCCCAAATCCCCCAAAATCCCACAAAAATCCCCCAATTTCAGCCGATTTTAGTCCCAGATTTTGCCCAAAATCCCCAAATTTCACCCCAAAATCCCCAAATTTTTTCAGGAATTTCCCTCACATCCCAAATTTCATTTGGATAGGATTGTAGGACGATCTGTTCCCATCCCAAATCCCCCAATTTCAGCCCCGATTTTAGTCCCAAAATCCCCCAATTTCAGTCCCAATCTCACACAAGAATTGCGCAATTTTAGTCCCGATTTTGCCCAAAATCCCCAAATTTCACCCCAAAATTTCAAATTTTTTTTAGGAATTTCCCTGAAATTCCAGATAATATTTGGGGCAGGGTTGTAGGACAACTGTTCCCATCCCAACTCCCCCAAAATCCCCCAATTTTTAACCAATTCTAGCCCAAATCTCCCACAAAAATTGGGCGATTTTCAGCCCCGATTTTGCCCAAAATCCCCAAATTTCACCCCAAAATCCCCGTTTTTTTCAGGAATTCCACTCACAGGCCCCTTGGCTGTACTGGCCCTGCTGGCTGTAGCTGGGGGGGGGGTTGTAGGACGACTGTTGCCATCCCAAATCCCCCAAAATCCCCCAATTTCAGCCCCAAAATCCCCCGATTTTCAGCTGATTTCAGCCGCGATTTTGCCCAAAATCCCCAAATTTTCACCCCAAAATTCCCGTTTTTTTTCAGGAAATTTCACTCACAGGCCCCTTGGCTGTACTGGCCCTGCTGGCTGTAGCTGGGGGGGGGGGGTTGTAGGACGACTGTTCCCATCCCAAATCCCCCAAAATCCCCCAAAATCCCCCAATTTCAGCCCCAATCTCCCGCAAAAATTGGGCGATTTCAGCCACGATTTTGCCCCAAAATCCCCAAATTTGGCCCCAAAATCCCCGTTTTTTTTTGGGGAATTTCACTGAAATCCCAGATAATATTTGGGCAGGGTTGTAGGATGACTGTTCCCATCCTAAATCCCCCAAAATCCCCAATTTTAGTCCCAAATTCCCCCAATTTCAGCCCCAAAATCCCCCAATTTCAGCCGATTTCAGCCGCGATTTTGCCCAAAATCCCCAAAATTTGGCCCCAAAATCCCCATTTTTTTTGGGGGGATTTCACCCAAATCCCAGATATGTGGTTTGGGCAGGGTTCTAGGCCAACTGTTGCCATCCCAAATCCCCCAAATCCCCCAATTTTAACCAATTCTAGCCCAAATCTCCCACAAAAATTGGGCGATTTCAGCCGCGATTTTGCCCAAAATCCCCAAATTTCGCCCCAAAATCCCCCAATTTCACCCCAAAATTCCCGTTTTTTTTTCAGGAATTCCACTCACAGGCCCCTTGGCTGTACTGGCCCTGCTGGCTGTAGCTGGGGGGGGGGTTGTAGGACGACTGTTGCCATCCCAAATCCCCAAAAATCCCACAAAAATTGGGCGATTTCAGCCGATTTTTTCAGCCGATTTCAGCCCCGATTTTGCCCAAAATCCCCAAATTTTGCCCCAAAATCCCCAAATTTTTTCAGGAATTTCCTCAAATCCCAGATGTGATTTGGGTGGGGTTGTAGGATGACTGTTCCCATCCCAAATCCCAACATCCCCCCAAAATTCCCCAATTTTAGCCCCAAAATCCCCCAATTTCAGCCGATTTTTCAGCCACGATTTTGCCCAAAATCCCAAATTTCACCCCAAAATCCCCAAATTTTTTCAGGAATTTCCCTCACATCCCAAATTTCATTTGGACAGGATTGTAGGATGACTGTTCCCATCCCAACTCCCCAAAATTCCCCAATTTCAGCCAATTTTAGCCCCAAAATCCCACAAAAATTGCGCGATTTTTAGTTCCGATTTGGCCCAAAATCCCCAAATTTGGCCCCAAAATCCCCAAATTTCGCCCCAAAATTCCCGTTTTTTTTTGGGAATTTCACTCACAGGCCCCTTGGCTGTACTGGCCCCTGCTGGCTGTAGCTGGGGGGGGGGTTGTAGGACGACTGTTGCCATCCCAAATCCCCCAAAATGCCCCCAAAATCCCCCAATTTCAGCCGATTTTAGTCCCGATTTTGCCCAAAATCCCCAAATTTCACCCCAAAATTCCGTTTTTTTTTTGGGAATTCCACTCACAGGCCCCTTGGCTGTACTGGCCCTGCTGGCTGTAGCTGGGGGGGGGGTTGTAGGACGACTGTTGCCCCGTAGCTCTGCTGGTTGTAGCCCCCGCTCTGCTGTTGGTTGTAGCCCCCGCTCGGGGCTTGGCCGTAGCTGGAGCTGCCGGAGCCGCCGCCGTAACTGGGGGGAAAAAGGAGGATTTTGGTTAAAAATGGGGAATTTTGGTTTAAAAAAGGGGGGATTTTGGTTAAAAATGGGGTTTGGGGGAAAAATGGGGTTTTGGGGGGGAAAAAATTGGGATTTTGGGGGAAAAAGTGGGGTTTTGGGGAAGGGAACAGGGAGGGGTTTGAGGGGGAATTGGTGGGAATAGGGGAGGGGTTTGGGTGAAAATTATTGGGGTTTAGTCAAAAAACAGCTGGAAAATGTCAGCAAAAGAAGTGGAATTTCATCCTAAAAACAGCTGGAATGCAAGCAAAAAAGAACCAGAATTTCACCCAAAAATAACCAGAATTTACCCGAAAATAACCAGAATTTACCCGAAAATAACCAGAATTTCACCCCAAACCCACCCAGAATTTCACCAAAAAAATAATGAGAAATTCACCCAAAAACCACCTGGAATTGACCCAAAAAGTAAGCAGAATTTACCCAAAAATAAGCAGAATTTGCCCAAAAATAAGCAGAATCTCACCCAAAAAAATAACCAGAATTCATCCAAAAAATAACCAGAATTTCACCCAAAAATAACCAGAATTTGACCCAAAAAACACCTGGAAGTTGACCCCAAAAAAAGCTGGAATTTCACCCAAAAAGGACCTGGAATTCACCCCCAAAAACACCCAGAATTTGACCCAAAAAATAAGCAGAATTTACCCTAAAAATAACCAGAATTTCACCCAAAAACCACCTGGAATTGACCCAGAAAATAACCAGAATTTCACCCCCAAAAATAACCAGATTTTCCCTCCCAAAATAACCAGAATTTTACCCAAAACTAACCAGAATTTCACCCAAAAACTACCCAGAATTTAGCCAAAAATAACCAGAATTTCACCCAAAAATAACCAGAATTTGACCCAAAAAACACCCAGAATTTGACCCAAAAAACAACTGGAATCCACCCAAAAGATAACCAGAATTTACGCAAAAAATAACCAGAATTTCACCCAAAGAAATAACCAGAATTTGACCCAAAACCACCTGGAATTGACCCAAAAACAACCAGAATTCCACCCAAAAATAACCAGAATTTCACCCAAAAAATACCCAAAATTTGACCCAAAAACCACCTGGAATTCAACCTAAAAACAGCTGGGATTCAATCAAAAAACAGCTGGAAAATGTCAGCAAAAGAAGTGGAATTTCATCCTAAAAACAGCTGGAATTCAAGCAAAAAATAACCAGAATTTGACCCAAAAAATAACCAAAATTTTACCCAAAAATAACCAAAATTTCACCAAAAAAACCTCCAAAATTTTTACCCAAAAAACCCCAAAATTTCACCTAAAAAACCCCAAAATTTCACCCAGAAAAACCCAAAATTTCACCCAAAATTCACCCAAAAAACCCCAAAATTTCAGTCAAAAACCCCAAAATTTCACCCAAGGAGGAGCTTGGGGCCCATTGGGAATGAATGGGGTGGGGTTGGGGTTACTCCTCTGGGGTTTATATTACAAATACCCAACAATTAACACTAATTAACTAATTAACCATTAATTAATCACCTTCCTGAAGCCGATGCAGCCGCAGGGGGCTGGGAATAGCCGGGGGGGTAGGAGGAGCTTGGGGCCCATTGGAATGAATGGGGTGGGGTTGGGGTTCATGGTTTGGGGTTTATATTACAAATACCCAACAATTAACACTAATTAACTAATTAATTAATCACTAATCACCTTCCTGAAGCCGAGGCAGCCACAGGGGGCTGTGAGTACCCGGGGTAGGAGGAGCTTGGGGCCCATTGGGAATGAATGGGGTGGGGCTGGGGTTACTCCTCTGGGGTTAGGGTAACAATAACAGACAATTAACACTAATTAACTAATTAATTAATTACTAATTACCTTCCTGAAGCCGACGAGCAGCCGCAGGGGGCTGGGAATACCCAGGGTAGGAGGAGCTTGGGGCCCATTGGGATGGCTGGGGTGGGGTTGGGGTGAATCCTCTGGGGGTTTACATTACAAATACCCAACAATTAACACTAATTAGCTAATTAATTAATCATTAATCACCTTCCTGAAGCTGAAGCAGCCGCAGGGGGCTGGGAATAGCCGGGGTAGGAGGAGCTTGGGGCCCATTGGGAATGACTGGGGTGGGGGTTGGGGTTCATGGTTTGGCCTTTAGGATAACAATAACTGACAATTAACACTAATTAACTAATTAACCATAAATTAATCACCTTCCTGAAGGTGAACAATGGGGAAAAAATTCCATCAAATCCCCCAGAATTTCACCCCAAAAAACCCCAAAAATTTCACCCAAAAAACCCCAAAATTTCACCCAAAACCCACCCAGAATTTCACCCAAAAATAACCAAAATTTCACCCAAAAACCCCCACAATTTTACCCAAAAACCCCAAAATTTCACCCAAAACCCTCCCAAAATTTCACCCAAAAACCCCAAAATTTCACCCAAAACCCACCCAGAATTTCACCCAAAAAATAACCAAAATTTCACCCAAAAACCCCCACAATTTTACCCAAAAACCCCAAAATTTCACCCAAAACCCTCCCAAAATTTCACCCAAAAACCCCAAAATTTCACCCAAAAAACCAAAATTTGACCCCAAGGAGGAGCTTGGGGCCCATTGGGAATGAATGGGGCGGGGCTGGGGGGTGAATGGTTTGGGGTTTACATTACAAATAATGAACAATTAACACTAATTAGTTAATTAATGATTAATTAATCACCTTCCTGAAGCTGAAGCAGCGCTGGGGGCTGGGAATAGCCAGGGTAGGAGGAGCTTGGGGCCCATTGGGAATGAAATGGGGTGGGGTTGGGGTTCATGGTTTGGGGTTTTATATTACAAATACCCAACAATTAACATCAATTAACTAATTAACCATTAATTAATCACCTTCCCGAGGCCGAGGCAGCCGCAGGGGGCTGGGAATAGCCAGGGTAGGAGGAGCTTGGGGCCCATTGGGAATGAATGGGGTGGGGTTGGGGTTACTCCTCTGGGGTTTATGATAACAATAGTTGATAATACCAATTAATTAACTAATTAATTAATCACTAATCACCTTCCTGAAGCCGATGCAGCCGCAGGGGGCTGGGAATAGCCAGGGTAGGAGGAGCTTGGGGCCCATTGGGAATGAATGGGGTGGGGTTGGGGTGAATCCTCTGGGGTTTATATTACAAATACCCAACAATTAACACTAATTAACTAATTAATTAATAATTAATCACCTTCCTGAAGCTGAAGCAGCCGCAGGGGGCTCGGAATAGCCAGGGTAGGAGGAGCTTGGGGCCCATTGGGAATGAATGGGGTGGGGTTGGGGTTCATGGTTTGGGGTTTACATTACAAATACCCAACAATTAACACTAATTAGTTAATTAATTAATAATTAATCACCTTCCTGAAGCTGAAGCAGCCGCAGGGGGCTCGGAATAGCCAGGGTAGGAGGAGCTTGGGGCCCATTGGGAATGAATGGGGTGGGGTTGGGGTGAATCCTCTGGGGTTTATGATAACAATAACCACTAATACCCTTTAATTAACTAATTAACCATTAATTAATCACCTTCCTGAAGGTGAACAATGGGGAAAAATTCCATCAAATCCCCCAGAATTTCACCCAAAAAACCCCAAAATTTCCCCCAAAAAACCCCAAAATTTCACCCAAAACCCTCCCAAAATTTCACCAAAAAAAACCCAAAATTTCACTCCAACTCCCCCAGAATTCACCCAAAAAACCCCAAAACTTCACCCAAAAAAACCCCAAAATTTCACCCAAAAAAGCCCAAATTTCACCCAAAAAACCTCAAAATTTCACCCAAAAAACCCCAAAATTTCACCCAAAAATAACCAGAATTTCACCCAAAAATAACCAGAATTTCACCCAAAAAACCCCAAAAGTGACCCAAAAATAACCAGAATTTCACCCAAAAAAGCCCAAACTTCACCCAAAAAACCTCAAAATTTCACCCAAACCCCCCCCAGAATTGACCCAAAAAACCCCAAAATTTTACCCAAAAATCCCAAAATTTCACCCAAAACCGTCCCAAAATTTCACCCAAAAAACCCAAAATTTCACCCAAAACCCGCCCAGAATTGACCCAAAAATAACCAAAATTTCACCCAAAACACCCCAAAATTTCACCCAAAAAACCCCAAAATGTCACCCAGAAAAACCCAAAATTTCACCCAAACTTCACCCAAAAACCCCAAAATTTTACCCAAAAACCGCAAAATTTCACCCAAGGAGGAGCTTGGGGCCCATTGGGAATGGCTGGGGGTGAATGGTTTGGGGTTTACATTACAAATACCCAACAATTAACACCAATTAGCTAATTAATTAATTACTAATCACCTTCCCGAAGCTGAAGCAGCCGCAGGGGGCTGGGAATAGCCGGGGTAGGAGGAGCTTGGGGCCCATTGGGAATGAATGGGGTGGGGTTGGGGTTACTCCTCTGGGGTTTAAGTTACCAATAACCACTAATACCAATTAATTAACTAATTAACCATTAATTAATCACCTTCCTGAAGCTGAAGCAGCCGCAGGGGGCTGGGAATACCCGGGGTAGGAGGAGCTTGGGGCCCATTGGGAATGAATGGGGTGGGGTTGGGGTTACTCCTCTGGGGTTTACATTACAAATACCCAACAATTAACACTAATTAGTTAATTAATTAATCATTAATCACCTTCCTGAAGCCGAAGCAGCCGCAGGGGGCTGGGAATAGCCAGGGTAGGAGGAGCTTGGGGCCCATTGGGAATGAATGGGGTGGGGTTGGGGTGAATCCTTTGGGCTTTAGGATAACAATAACAGACAATTAACACTAATTAACTAATTAATTAATTACTAATCACCTTCCCGAAGCCGAGGCAGCCGCAGGGGGCTGGGAATACCCAGGGTAGGAGGAGCTTTGGCCGTAGCTGCCCTGGGAGCTCTGCCCGGAGCCGAAGCCGCCGGAGCCGTAGGAGGGAGGAGCCGCAGGGGCCGAGTAACCTGGGGGTAATTAACGTAATTAGTGCTAATTAATGGAGCTGGTTCATTGAATTAATGGTTTGGAGAGGGAAGGGGGGATGGAGGGGAAATGGGGGGAAATGGAGGGGAAATGGGGGAAAAAAGAGGGAAAAAATGCAGAGGGAATTGGGAAAATAAGGGGGAAAAGAAGGGGAATTGGGAATTAATTAGGAATTAATTAGGGGTAATTAAGGGTTAATTTAGAAATTGAATTAAAAGTGGGAAAAATTGAATTGAAATTGGGGAAAATTAAATGGAAATTATGGCAAAAAAAGGGAAAAATGCACAGGGAATTGGGAAATTTGGAAGGAAGCAGAAATTAGGAATTAATTAATGAAGAATTAATTAGGGGTAATTAAGGTTTAATTTAGAAATTGAATGAAAAGTGGGAAAAATTAAATAAAAATTAGGGGGAATTGAATTGGAATTGGGGAAAAAAAGAGGGAAAAAACCCACAGGGAATTGGGAAATTTGGGGGAAAATTGGGAATTAATTAAGAATTAATTAATGGTAATTAAAGGTTAATTTAGAATTTGAATTAAAGGTGGGAAAATTAAATAAAAATTGGGGGAAATTCAATTGAAATTGGGGTAAAAAAGGGGAAATTGGGAAAAAAACAGGGAAAAAATGCAAAGGGAATTGGGAAAATAAGGGGGAGATTGGGGATTAATTAGGGATTAATTAGGGGTAATTAAGGGTTAATTTAAAAATAAAATTAAAAGTGGGAAAAATTAAATAAAAATTAGAGGAAAAAAGGGGGAAATTAATTGAATGAAAACTTGGAAAATTTAAAATAAAATTAGAGGAAAAAAAAAGGGAAATTGGGAAAAAACGGGGAAAAAATGCAGAGGGAATTGGGAAATTTGGGGGGAATTGGGGATTAATTAGGAATTAATTAATGGTAATTAAAGTTTAATTTAGAAATTGAATGAAAACTGGGGAAAATTGAATTGAAATTGGGGTAAAAAAAGGGGAAATTGGAAAAAAAACGGGAAAATGCAGAGGGAATTGGGAAAATAAGGGGGGAAATTGGGGATTAATTAGGGATTAATTAGGGGTAATTAAGGGTTAATTGGGAAGGGGGTTGGAAGAGGGGAATTGAATTGAAAATGGGGGAAATTAAATAAAAATTGGGAAAAAATAAATTTAAATTGGGGAAAATGGGGTAAAATCCACAGGGAATTGGGAAATTTGGAGATAATTAAGAATTAATTAATGGTAATTAAAGGTTAATTTAGAAATTGAATTAAAGGTGGGAAAATTAAGTAAAAATTGGGGAAAATTCAATTGAAATTAGGGAAAAAACAGGGAAAAAATCCAAAAGGGAATTGGGAAATTTGGGGGGAAAGCAGAAATTGGGAATTAATTAATTAAGAATTAATTAGGGGTAATTAAGGGTTAATTTTAAATGGAATTAAAATTGGGAAAAATTGAATAAAAATTGGGGGGCAAAAAGGGGAAATTGGGAAAAAATCCCACAGGGAATTGGGAAATTTGGGGGAAAATTGGGAATTAATTAAGAATTAATTAGGGGTAATTAAAGGTTAATTTAGAAATTGAATTAAAAGTGGGAAAAATTGAATTGAAAGTGGGAAAAATTGAATTGAAATTGGGAAAAAAACAGGGAAAAAATGCACAGGGAATTGGGAAAATAAGGGGGAAAAGAAGGGGAATTGGGAATTAATTAGGGATTAATTAGGGGTAATTAAAGTTTAATTTAGAAATTGAATGAAAATTGGGAAAAATTAAATTAAAATTTGAGGGAAAAAAAAGGGAAATGGAGAGAAAACCACAGGAAATTGGGGCAAAATGGGGTAAAATCCCGGGAAATTGGGAAATTGGGGGGGAAAAGCAGAAAAATTGGGATGGGAATTTTTGGGATTTTTGGGATTTCAGGGAATTGGGGGAATTTTTGGGGGAATTTTGGGAAATTTGGGAATTTTTGGGGAATTTTTGGGGAATTTTATGGGGAATTTTAGGGTAATTTTGGGGAATTTTGGGGGAATTTTTGGGGAATTTTAGGAAATTTTGGGGAATTTTGGGAATTTGGGGGAATTTGGTGGAATTTTTTGAATTTTTGGGGAATTTTGGGAATTTTGGAGAATTTTTGGCAAAATTGGGAATTTTGGGTAAATTTTGGTGAATTTTTGGGTAAATTTGGGAATTTTTGGGGAATTTTTGGGGAAATTTTGGAGAATTTTGGGAATTTTTGGAGAATTTTGGGAATTTTTGGGGAAATTTTGGAATTTTTGGTGACTTTTGGGGAATTTTGGGGAAATTTAGGAGAATTTTGGGTAAATTTTGGGAATTTTTGGGGAATCTTGGGGAATTTTGGGGCAATTTGCCAATTTTTGGGAAATTTTGGGCAATTTTGGAGAATTTTTGGGCAATTTTGGGAATTTTTGGGGTTTCTGGGCTCACTCCCAGCTCTGGCTCTGCTCAGGCACTTTTGGGATCAGTTCTGGGCTCACTTTTGGGTCCAAAAGTGCCAATTTTGGGTCTGAAGGTGCCGATTTTGGGTCCGAAGGTGCCGATTTTGGATCCATTGGGATACAAGGACGGGGATTTTGGGAAATTTTGGGAAATTTTGGGGATTTTTCAGGAATTTTGGGGTTTCTGGGCTCACTCACTTCCCTGGGTCTGCCCAGGCACTTTTGGGATCAGTTCTGGGGTCACTTTGGTCAGTTTTGGGTCAGTTTTGGGTCCGAAAGTGCCGATTTTGGGTCCGAAGGTGCCGATTTTGGGTACAATGGAGTAGAACAATGGGGATTTTTGGGATTTTGATGAATTTTATGGAATTTTAAGCTGACTCACCGCTCTGGCTCTGCCCATAGCAGGAGCTGTACCCTCCCTGTCCATACCCAGTGTCCGAGCTCAGATTTGGGTCCGAAAGTGCCAATTTTGGTTCCAAAAGTGCCGATTTTGGATCCATTGGGATACAAGGATGGGCATTTTTGGGATTTTCAGGAATTTTTCAAGATTTTTAGGAATTTTAGGCTCACTCACCACTCTGGCTCTGCCCATAGGAGGAGCTGTACCCTCCCTGTCCATACCCCGTGTCTGGGCTCAGTTTTGGTTACAAAAGTGCCGATTTTGGGTCCAAAGGTGCCAATTTTGGGTCCGAAAGTGCCGATTTTGGCTCCAATGGGGTAGAACAATGGGGATTTTGGGGATTCTATGGAATTTTTGGGATTTTTCAGGAATTTTGGGGTTTCTGGGCTCACTCCCAGCTCTGGCTCACCCCAGGCACTTTTGGGATCAGTTCAGGGCTCAGATTTGGGTCCAAAAGTGCCAATTTTGGTTCCGAAAGTGCCAATTTTGGATCCAATGGGATACAAGGACGGGGATTTTTGGGATTTTGATGAATTTTATGGAATTTTCAGGATTTCAGGCTCACTCACCGCTCTGGCTCTGCCCATAGGAGGAGCTGTACCCTCCCTGTCCATACCCAGTGTCTGAGCTCAGATTTGGGTCCAAAAGTGCCGATTTTGGCTCCAATGGGGTAGAACAATGGGGATTTTTGGGATTTTGGTGAATTTGGGGATTTTATGGGATTTTTAGGGTTCCTGGGCTCACTCACTGCCCTGGCTCTGTCCAGGCACTTTTGGGATCAGTTCTGGGCTCAGATTTGGGTCCGAAGGTGCCGATTTTGGGTCCATTGGGATACAAGGATGGGGATTTTGGGAAATTTTGGGAAATTTTTGGGATTTTTCAGGAATTTTGGGGTTTCTGGGCTCACTTACTGCCCTGGGTCTACCCAGGCACTTTTGGGGTCAGTTCTGGGCTCAGATTTGGGTCCGAAAGTGCCAATTTTGGGTCCAAAGGTGCCGATTTTGGGTCCGAAGGTGCCGATTTTGGATACATTGGGATACGAGGACGGGGATTTTTGGGGATTTTTGGGATTTTATGGAATTTTCAGGATTTCAAGGCTCACTCACCGCTCTGGCTCTGCCCATAGGAGGAGCTGTACCCTCCCTGTCCATACCCCGTATCCCAGCTCTGCCCTTGGGGCTCCGTTTTGGTTACAAAGATGCCAATTTTGGATACATTGGGATACAAGGACGGGGATTTTTGGGATTTTGATGGATTTTTAGGAATTTTCAGGATTTTTAAGCTGACTCACCGCTCTGGCTCTGCCCGTAGGAGGAGCTGAACCCTCCCTGACTTTGGGGCTTTCAGGGCTCAGTTTTGGTTCCAAAGGTGCCGATTTTGGGTCCAAAGGTGCTGATTTTGGCTCCATTGGGGTAGAACAATGGGGATTTTTGGGAATTTTTCAGGAATTTTTGGGATTTCAAGGCTCACTCACCGCTCTGGCTCTGCCCATAGGAGGAGCTGTACCCTCCCTGTCCATACCCAGAGTCGAGCTCAAATTTGGGTCCGAAGGTGCCGATTTTGGATCCATTGGGATACAAGGACGGGGATTTTGGGGATTTTGGTGAATTTTGGGATTTCAGGGAATTTTTCAGGATTTTTGGGGTTTCTGGGCTCACTCACTGCTCTGGCTCTGCCCAGGCACTTTTGGGATCAGTTCTGGGGTCACTTTGGTCAGTTTTGGGTCAGTTTTGGGTCCGAAAGTGCCGATTTTGGGTCCGAAGGTGCCGATTTTTGATCCATTGGGATACAAGGATGGGGATTTTTGGGGATTTTTGGGATTTTGATGAATTTTATGGAATTTTAAGCTCACTCACCGCTCTGGCTCTGCCCATAGGAGGAGCTGAACCCTCCCTGTCCATACCCAGTGTCTGGGCTCAGATTTGGTTCCAAAGGTGCCGATTTTGGATACATTGGGGTAGAACCATGGGGATTTTTGGGATTTTATGGAATTTTGGGATTTCAGTGAATTTTTCAGGAATTTTGGGGTTTCTGGGCTCTCTCTCTGCCCTGGCTCTACCCAGGCACTTTAGGGGTCAGGTCTGGGCTCAGTTTTGGTTACAAAGGTGCCGATTTTGGATCCATTGGGATACAAGGACGGGGATTTTTGGGATTTTCAGGAATTTTCAGGATTTTTAAGCTGACTCACCGCTCTGGCTCTGCCCATAGGAGGAGCTGAACCCTCCCTGTCCATACCCCGTGTCCGAGCTCTGCCCTTGGGGCTCCGTTTTGGGTCCGAAGGTGCCAATTTTGGATACAATGGGGTAGAACAATGGGGATTTTTGGGATTTTGATGAATTTTATGGAATTTTAAGCTCACTCACCGCTCTGGCTCTGCCCATAGGAGGAGCTGTACCCTCCCTGTCCATACCCCATGTCCGAGCTCTGCCCTTGAGTCCAAAAGTGCCAATTTTGGGTCCAAAGGTGCCGATTTTGGGTCCATTGGGATACAAGGATGGGGATTTTTGGGATTTTGATGAATTTTATGGAATTTTTAAGCTCACTCACCGCTCTGGCTCTGCCCATAGGAGGAGCTGAACCCTCCCTGTCTGTACCCAGTGTCTGAGCTCTGCCCTTGGGGCTTTCAGGGCTCAGATTTCGGTCTGAAGGTGCCGATTTTGGGTCCGAAGGTGCCGATTTTGGGTCCATTGGGATACAAGGACGGGGATTTTTGGGATTTTCAGGAATTTTTCAGGAATTTTGGGATCTTTAGGCTCACTCACCGCTCTGGCTCTGCCCATAGGAGGAGCTGTACCCTCCCTGTCCATAGCCCGTGTCCGAGCTCTGCCCGTAGCCCCCGTAGCTCTGCTGGCCGTAGCCCTGCCCCCCTCCCTGTGAGTAGCTCTGGCTGGGGGGGGCGGGGTAGGCGCCGTAACTGAGGAAAAATAAAATAAAAATTAAAATTAAAAATGAATTTGGGGGGAAATGGGCAAAGGAAAGGGAGGTTTTGGAAAGGGGATGGGGTGAGGTGATGGGGTCGTACCTTTGGGTGGCCGTCTGGCTGTAGTCTGGGGAGGAAAGGGTTAAAGTTGGGGTTAATTCAGGAATAAAATTATAAAATAAATTATTAAAAATTAAATCTGTTTTCTATCATTTATTCAATCTGAAAAGGGCTAAAAAGTTGCTGTAATTATTTTGACATCATTTAAAAAGAAAAATTCCATTTTCTTAATTTATTCATTATGCGGAGGATTTATTAAAATATCAACAAATTTTTATTAAATTGGGTGAATCAAGCAAAAATTGTTTAAAATCAATATTTTGCCCCCTGTTTATTAAATTTGGCAGGAAAGGGTTAAAATTTCGGGGTTAATTAATCAGAAACCACTTAGGATAAATTAGTTTTCCTAATGTATTAAATCTGGGGAGGAATTTGGGGTTAATTAATCAGAAATTACTTAAAATAAATTAATTTTCCTAATTTATTAAATATGACCAGGAAAGGGTTAAAAATAGGTTTAATTAATCAGAAATAATTTAAATAAATTAATTTTCCTAATTTATTGAATCTGGGGAGGAAAGGGTTAAAATTTCCGGGTTAATTACTCAGAAATAATTTAAATAAATTAATTTTCCTAATTTATTACAGCTGGGGAGGAAAGGGTTAAAATTTCGGGGTTAATTATTCAGAAATAATTTAAATAAATTAATTTTCCTAATTTGTTAAATCTGGGGAAGAAAGGGTTAAAAAATGGGTTTAATTAATCAGAAATAATTTAATTAAATTGATTTTCCTAATTAATTGAATCTGAGGAGGAAAGGGTTAAAAAATGGGGTAAATTAATCAGAAATAATTTAAAATAAATTACGTTTACTAATTTATTAAATCTGGGGAAGAAAGGGTTAAAAATTTGGGTTAATTAATCGGAAATAATTTAAAATAAATTAATTTTCCAAATTTATTAAATCTGGGGAGGAATTTCGGGTAATTTAATCAGAAATAATTTAAAATAAATTCATTTTCTTAATTTAATAATTCTGGGGAGGAAAGGGTTAAAATTTCGGGGTTAATTAATCAGAAATAATTTAAATAAATTAATTTTCCTAATTTATTACAGCTGGGGAGGAAAGGGTTAAAATTTCGGGGTTAATTATTCAGAAATAATTTAAATAAATTAATTTTCCTAATTTGTTAAATCTGGGGAGGGAAGGGTTAAAATTTCGGGGTTAATTACTCAGAAATTACTTAAATAAATTCATTTTCTTTATTTATTAAATCTGGGGAAGAAAAGGTTAAAAATGGGGTTAATAATCAGAAATAATTTAAAATAATTAATTTTCCTAATTTATTAAATTTGGCGGGAAAGGGTTAAAATTTGGGGTTAATTAATCAGAAATAAGTTAAAATAAATTACGTTTACTAATTTATTAAATCTGGGGAAGAAAGGGTTAAAAATGGGGTTAATTAATCAGAAATAATTTAAAATAAATTAATTTTCTTAATTTAATAATTCTGGGGAGGAAAGGGTTAAAATTTCAGGGTTAATTAATCAGAAATAATTTAAATAATTTGATTTTCCTAATTAATTGGGGAAGAAAGGGTTAAAATTTGGGGTTAATAATCGAAAATAATTTAAATAAATTGATTTTCCTAATTAATTGGGGAAGAAAGGGTTAAAATTTCGGGGTTATTTAATCATAAATAATTTAAATAAATTAATTTTCTTAGTTTATTAAATCTGGGGAGGAAAAGGTTAAAATTTCAGGGTTAATTAATCAGAAATAATTTCAAATAATTAAATTTTCTCAATTTAATAATTCTGGGGAGGAAAGGGTTAAAGTATGGATTTAATTAATAAGAAATAATTTAAAATAAATTAATTTTCCTAATTAATTGAATCTGGGGAGGGAAGGGTTAAAATTTGGGGTTAATTAATCAGAAATAAATTAATTTTCTTTATTTATGAAACCTGGGGAGGAAAAGGTTAAAAAATGGGGTTAATAATCAGAAATAATTTAAATAAATTAATTTTCTTTATTTATGAAATCTGAGGAGGAAAGGGTTAAAAAATGGGGTAAATTAATCAGCAATCACTTAAATTAATTTCCCTACTTTATTAAATGTTTCTTAATTAATACAAAAATATTTTAATTAAGGAAGCAACTAAAAAAAAATATCTTGAATTTGACCTATTTAATTAAAGTTATTGGTTATTGATTAAGCGGCTTGAATTAGGAAAAAAAGCCTTGAAATAAATTGGTTTATTAGGCACTAATTAATAGCTTTAATTAAGTCAATTCCCACTAATTATCTACAGCTTCGTTTTAATTATAAACTTTAATCACGTTTTAATTAATTAATTTATTGCTCTTAAATATTAACAGACCTTTTTTAATTACACACAATAAAAACCTTAGCATTTAATAATCTAAAATTCTAATTAATAATCCAAAATTCTAATTAATAATCTAAACCTATAATTAATAAATAGTAGTAAATAAATTCTTTTATATTATTAGCGGTTATTAGGGCGGTTTTAATTAGGTATTAAACACACAAATAACTGCATTTATTATGAATATATGACTAATTAATACACAACTATTAATAATTAATTAGTTTTATCACTGCATATTAATATAACGCCTTTAATTAGGAAAATTAGCTCAAACCCAACATTAAATCCGTGTATTTATAGATGCTTTATGCTATTTTTTATAATTAAAAATACTACTTTAATAATTAATACCATAAATTAATTATTTTAAGGATATTTCACACCTATTTCCATAATTAAAATCCAATCAATGCACAATTAATTACCAATAAATCCATTTTATCTTGACTTATTTCTGTAATTAAAAGCACTTTAATAACCAAAAATGAGGGAAAAAAATCACCCTGGTAATGCCTAAAAGGTTTTATACATCCCATTAATTTTAAGTTATTATTAAAAGACTTTTAACTCCAAAAACTTCATTAAAAAATCGGAAATAAATAAAATTTTAACACTTGACAAGGGTAAAAATATCTTTAAATAAAAATAGGTCAGTTTATTACGGGATTATTTATTAACAAAGAGCTTCGAACTACAGAAATAAAATTAAAAGCGCCTTAAATGTATTTTAAGAATTTAATTACACAATTAATTTTTGATTTTAGGGCAGAAATAGCAAAATTTCGGCACAAAATAAAGGAAAATTTGGGTGTTTCACCCACCCTGAAGCACCAAATCCCTGCTCAAGACGAAATTTCCCGCCCAAAAAGAAAATGAACGATTTTATCCGCCAAAATCACCGCAAATTTTGATTTTTAATTGTAAAAAAGTCAAATTCAAGATAAATTGTATGATTTAGATGTGAAAATGGATGTGAAACCTTAAAGCCCCCTCAGGCTCAGCACAACAAAAAGGTCTAAAATTCCGGTTTTTACAGCAAATATCCCCCGCTAAAAGCACTCGGAGTTTAAATTTAATTATTTACGTGTCATAAAAAATAAAAATTAAAATAAATTTAATTATTTAGAGCGAAAAATCGCAAGAAAAAGTTAAACTTCCCCTCAGGCGCCACACAACAAAGGGGGGTGTGAAAGCACATGGTTCTAACGGCAAAAAGCCTCTAAAACCTCACGAAATCAAGGAATTAAACAAATTATAAATTAAATTTGAAAGGATTAATTGAAATTTAAGTATTTCAATGTTTAAATAAGGGGAAATTTTTAACTCCCCTCCGGGTTCGCCTAACAAAAGGCGCGCCCCGGGGGGTAAATTTGGAGGGTGTAAAAATCTACATTTAACATAAAAAATTCACCAAAAAAAAGTGACATAATCAGCACAATCAAACACTAATTTAGTTATAAAACTTTATATTTCATTAAAATACGATTAATTTCCCCTCAGAAATCCGCACTAAAGAGTGCGGAACTGAACCCTCCCCCTCACGACACGGCGGGAATTTCCCGCCTCGCAGGGGAGAAACCGCGGGGGTGAATTTTTAACGTCGAAACCGAAGTTTTAGGGCTTAGTTTTTAATGTATTTGATTAAATTTGATTTCGATTTTATTTGATTTGATTAAATTTGATTTAACGGAAGGACCCGGATGTGTCACTGCGGCAGCGGCGCCGCGCACGCGCCGCGCGCACAAAATGGCGGCGGTGGCGCAGAGGCAAAACCACAAAATGGCGGGCGGGGGGAAAAAGCGGGTTCCGGACCCCCTAAAACACCCCGAAATTACCCCAAAATCCAAACAAATTCCCGGGAAATTCACCCAAAAGTCACGGTTTTGTGTTAAAATTGGGCGTTCCGGGGTTAATTTTCCTCCCCGCTGCAGGCGTGCAGCATCCGGGCGCGGCGCTTTGTTCGGCCCCCGCCCCATCCGCGATGGTTTTAGCAGTAAAAATAACCCAGAAAAGCACCCGAAATTTGCGGTTTGGTCTTAAAATCGAAGCGTTAAAGCGGGGAAATGTTAAAAGGAAAAGGGAAAATAAATTAAAACCAAAAAATAGAGAAGTGAGGCGTGGCGGAAACGGGGCGGCATCAAACCCCACACAGCGCAAATCACACACAGCCCCAGAGCAGCGCTGCCGGCGAAAAACCCACAATGAAACAACGCCTTAACTACACCAATTAACGCCGAAATGACCATTACAAAGAGCATTAATTAAAAACAACACAACCAACGGCGGATAAAGCGCGGCGGCCGCCGGAACCCCCTCAGGTTTTCCCCCCCGCGGTGCTCCCAGACCGCGCTGGGCGCTGCAGCCCCCGCCCGCCCCCGGGGTCCCCGGGGCAAGGAGGGGTCTGGGGGTGGAGGGGGTCCCTCCCCGGTGCTCGGGGGGGTCCCTGCCCGGGATAAAAGGGAGCTGAGGGGGTCCCCACGGCGCCGGTACCGTTGGAGGCCATGGCGGTGCCGCGCGCTCCGCGTCCGCTCCACGTGGCGCCCGCACTGCGCGCCGCGCGCGCCCGCCCGCCGTTTTATAGCCTCGGTCGGCGCCTCCCACCCACACTGGTGCGCGGGGGGGGGGAGCGGGGGGGGGGGGAGCGGAGGTGGTACGGTCCTGGCGGGAAAAGGGGGCGGGAGGGCAGAGCGGTGGGCGTGGCGAAGGGCGGGGCGAGGGGCGGGGCTAAAAATAGCGGAGGAGCCCATAGGGGACAGGGCCCTATAGGAGAGACCGGGCCCTATAGGAGAGACCGGGCCCTATAGGAGAGACCGGGCCCTATAGAGGCTGTAAAGGGGCCCCGAGCAGGTACAGGGGGGGTCCTATAGGGGAGAGGAACCTATAGACGGGTCTATAGGGGACAGGGGGGTTCTATAGGGGACAGGGGGGTCTATAGGGGACAGGGGGGGTTCTATAGGGGACAGACCCCATAGAGAGGGTAGGGGAGGGGTTCTGTAGGGGATATGGGGGGGTCTATAGGGGACAGGGGGGGTTCTATAGGGGACAGACCCCATAGAGAGGGTAGGGGAGGGGTTCTATAGGGGACAGGGGGGTCTATAGGGGATATGGGGGGGATATGGGGGGTCTATAGGGGATATGGGGGGGTCTATGGGGGATATGGGGGGGATATGGGGGATATGGGGGGGTCTACTGTCCACTCCCAGTGTCCACTCCCAGTGTCCACTCCCCACTCCCACTGTCCATTCAGTGTCCACTCCCACTGTCCACTCCCCATTTCTAATGTCCACTCCATGTCCAGTGTCCACTCCATGTCCACTCCCAGTGTCCACTCCCAGTGTCCACTCAGTGTCCACTCCCCATTTCTAATGTCCACTCTCAGTGTCCACTCCCCACTCCCAGTTCCCACTGTCCACTCCAGTGTCCACTCCTGTGTCCACTCCCAGTTCCCAGTGTCCACTCCCAGTGTCCACTCCCCATTTCTAATGTCCACTCCGTGTCCAGTGTCCACTCCATGTCCACTCCGTGTCCAGTGTCCACTCCATGTCCACTCCCAGTGTCCACTCCCAGTGTCCACTCCCCACTCCCAGTGTCCACTCCTCACTCCCAGTGTCCACTCCCCACTCCCACTGTCCACTCCATGTCCACTCCAGTGTCCACTCCCAGTTCCCAGTGTCCCCTTTCACTGTCCACTCCAGTGTCCACTCCATGTCCAGTGTCCACTCCCACTGTCCACTCTCAGTGTCCACTCCCCATTCCCACTGTCCACTCTGTGTCCACTCCATGTCCACTCCATGTCCACTCCTAATGTCCACTCTGTGTCCACTCCCACTGTCCACTCCCAATGTCCACTCCATGTCCACTGTCCACTCCAGTGTCCACTCCATGTCCACTCCATGTCCACTCCTAATGTCCACCCCGGTGTCCCCTCCGTGTCCCTGCAGTGTCCACCCCCATGTCCGCTCTGGACCTCGTCCGGGCCGGTGGCCGGAGCCTGGATCGCCGCCTGGCCCGAGTGTCCGGCGAGGCGCTGCTGGCCGGGCTGCGGGCGGCCGGAGCCGTGTCCGAGCCCGAGGTGGCCGCGCTCGGCCGGCCGGACGGCGGGGGCTGGACGCGGCGACTCCGCGCTCTGGCCGCGGCCAAAGGCGACCGGACGTGCCGCGTCCTTCTGTCCGTCCTGGAGGGGCTGGAGGGGCCGCCCCGGCCGGGGCCCTTCGGTGAGTGAGGGAGTGACCGCTGCCGGGGCCGGCCGTGGGGTGGTGGTCACTCAGTGGTCACTCTGTGGTCACTCCTGTGGTCATTTTGGGGATTTTTTGGGATTTTTTTGACCTCAAATTTCAGTGTGTGGTCACTCCAATGGTCATTCCATTCCACTCAATGGTCACTCAGTGGTCACTGATTGGTCACCCTGTGGTCACTCCAGTGGTCACTCCAGTGGTCACTCCAGTGGTCATTTTGGGGATTTTTTTTGGATTTTTTGGGATTTTTTTCCTGTTTTTCACAAAGTTTTTGACCCCAAATTTTGGTGAGTGACCACTCCAATGTCCGGCTGTGGGGTGAGTGACCAGTGGTCACTCCAGTGGTCACTCCAGTGGTCATTCCAGTGGTCACTCCTGTGGTCATTTTTGGGATTTTTTGGGGGGATTTTTCCTGTTTCTCCCAATGTTTATGACCCAAATTTTGGTGAGTGACCACTCCAATGTCCAGCTGTGGGGTGAGTGACCAGTGGTCACTCCAGTGGTCACTCTGTGGTCACTCAGTGGTCACTCATTGGTCACTCATTGGTCACTCATTGGTCACCCTGTGGTCACTCTGTGGTCACTCATTGGTCACTCATTGGTCACTCAGTGGTCACTCGTTGGTCACTCAATGGTCACTCAATGGTCACTGATTGGTCACCCTGTGGTGACTCCATTGGTCACTCAATGGTCACTCCATTGGTCACTCCAATGGTCACTCAGTGGTCACTCCATTGGTCACTCTGTGGTCACTCATGGTCACTCATTGCTCACTCCATTGGTCACTCCAGTGGTCATTTTGGGATTTTTTGGGATTTTTTTCCCTGTTTTTCCCAATGTTTTTGATCCCAAATTTCGGTGAGTGACCGCTCCAATGTCCAGCTGTGGTCTGGGAGGGGTCAGTGCCCAGTGGTCACTCTGTGGTCACTGATTGGTCACTCCATTGGTCATTTTTTGCCCGTTTTTTTTCCCGTTTTCCCAGGTTTTTATGACCCCACTTTGATAAGTGACCGCTCCCGTGGCCGGCCGTGGGGTGGTGGTCACTCTGTGGTCACTCCAGTGGCCACTCCTGTGGTCATTTTGGGGGATTTGGGGGATTTTTTGGGATTTTTTGGGATTTTTTTCCTGTTTTTCACAGTCTTTGACCCCAAATTTTGGTGAGTGACCACTCCAATGTCCGGCCATGGGTCAATGCCCAGTGGTCACTCCAGTGGTCATTTTGGGGGATTTTTTGGGATTTTTTTCCTGTTTTTCCCAATTTTTATGACCCAAATTTCAGTGAGTGACCGCTCCAATGTCCACCTGGAGTGAGTGACCAGTGGTCACTCCAGTGGCCACTCTGTGGTCACTCAATGGTCACTCCATTGGTCACTCCAGTGGTCATTCCAGTGGTCACTCCATTGGTCACTCCAGCGGTCATTTTGGGGATTTTTTGGGATTTTTTTTCTGTTTTTCCCAATTTTTATGACCCCAAATTTCAATGAGTGGTCACTCCAATGGTCATTCCATTGGTCACTCATTGCTCACTCCAGTGGTCACTCAATGGTCACTCAGTGGTCACTGATTGGTCACCCTGTGGTGACTCCATTGGTCACTCATTGGTCACTCAGTGGTCACTCAGTGGTCATTTTTGGGATTTTTTGGGATTTTTTTCCCATTTTTCTCAATTTTTATGACCCCAAATTTCAGTGAGTAGTCACTCCAATGGTCATTCCATTGGTCACTCAGTGGTCACTCAATGGTCACTCAATGGTCACTCCAGTGGTCACTCAATGGTCACTCCAGTGGTCATTTTTGGGGATTTGGGGGGATTTTTCCTGTTTTCCCCAAAGTTTTTGACCCCAAATTTTGGTGAGTGACCGCTCCAATGTCCGGCCATGGGATGAGTGACCAGTGGTCACTCAATGGTCATTCCAGTTGTCACTCCAGTGGTCACTCTGTGGTCACTCATTGGTCACTCATTGGTCACTCACTGGTCACTCATTGGTCACTCCAGTGGTCACTCATTGGTCACTCATTGCTCACTCCATTGGTCACTCTGTGGTCACTCTGTGGTCACTCAGTGGTCACTCATTGCTCCCTCATTGCTCACCCTGTGCTCACCCCGTGCCCGTTTTTTGCCCGTTTTTTGCCCGTTTTTTGCCCGTTTTCCCCGTTTTTTCGCAGATTTCTTCGACCCGCAGCGCGACGCCGCCCCCGGGCACCGCTCGGACTGTCCGTGCTGCCGGCCGGAGCCGGAGTGGACACTGCCAGGCCAGGAGGAGGAGGAGGGACCCAAAACCGGGGAGGAAGGCCCCGAGGATGAGGAGGGAGAAGCCAAAAATGGCGATGAAGGCCCTGAGGATGATGAAGGTGGAGGCGATGAAGGCCCTGAGGATGAAGATGGAGGCGATGAAGGCCCTGAGGATGAGGATGAGGATGGAGGTGATGAAGGCCCTGAGGATGATGAAGGTGGAGGCGATGAAGGCCCCGGTGATGAAGATGGAGGCGATGAAGGCCCCGGTGATGATGATGATGGTGGAGGAGGAGAGGATGAAGATTAAGGTGGGGAGGGGCTGAGGAGGAGGAGGAGGAGGGACCCAAAACCGGGGAGGAAGGCCCTGAGGATGATGAAGGAGAAGCCAAAAATGAGGAAGGAAACCCCGAGGATGAGGAGGGAGAAGCCAAAAATGGCGATGAAGGCCCTGAGGATGAAGATGGAGGCGATGAAGGCCCTGAGGATGAAGATGAGGGTGATGAAGGCCCTGAGGATGAGGAAGGAGGTGATGAAGGTCCCGGTGATGATGAAGGTGGAGGCGATGAAGGTCCCGGTGATGATGATGATGATGGTGGAGGAGGAGGGGATGAAGATTAAGGTGGGGAGGGGCTGAGGAGGAGGAGGAGGAGGGACCCAAAACTGGGGAGGAAGGCCCTGAGGATGAGGAGGAGGAGGGAGAAGCCAAAAATGGCGATGAAGGCCCTGAGGATGATGAAGGTGGAGGTGATGAAGGCCCCAGTGATGAAGATGAGGGTGATGAAGGCCCCAATGATGAGGATGGAGGTGATGAAGGCCCTGAGGATGAGGAAGATGGCGATGAAGGCCCCGGTGATGATGATGATGGAGGCGATGAAGGCCCCAGTGATGAAGGCCCTGAAGATGATGAAGGAGAACCCAAAAATGGCGATGAAGGCCCCGAGGATGATGAAGATGAGGGTGATGAAGGCCCTGAGGATGAAGATGAAGGCGATGAAGGCCCTGAGGATGAAGATGAAGGCCCCGGTGATGATGAAGATGGAGGCGATGAAGGCCCCGGTGATGAAGGCCCTGAAGATGATGAAGAAGAACCCAAAAATGGCGATGAAGGCCCTGAGGATGATGAAGATGGAGACAATGAA